AGAGAGAGAGAGAGAGAGAGAGAGAGAGCACAAGCAATTAAACAGCCATTTTCTTTATCTGCTTTTATGCACAAATTATTTTTTAACAGCACAACTGCTTTTATGCACAATTTATTTTTTAACAGCACATTTACCATTGTGCAGAGTCCAATACCACAAATGCTTGAAAAGGTCTGTCTTACTACATCAAGAAGATACAATCGGAGAGTTCAAGAGGATAAGAAAATCCAGACAACTGAGACCGAACACAAGGAAATGAACAGCTCTCCAGAATCTGGCATCTCCTATGAAAGAACAAATTATCGTCAATTGGAAAAATTGTTGCACACTGGCAGGAAAAGCACACTTAGAGGTTGGAATCAGAAAATTGTTGTAGAGGAAAACTGTAGCAGAGATCCAAATGAAGGAGATGCTGTTGCTCATGCTTACTCCGATAAAACAGTTGCCGAGGCATCGATAACTGATGATAATACTGACTTTGTGGTTCCTTTTGAAGTTGAAACAACTGGTATCACAGGGGATGAGAAATGTGGCGAAGACCCAAGTGAAGAAGTTAACTGTTCAATGCATATGGCATCTGGGAACTCTGTTCAAGTTGGAGAAACTGAGATAACTGAAGAGGAGACTTTACAGCCAGAAAATCTTGGCACTGAGGATGAAAAGTGTAGCATAGTCCCTGTAGCTCATGCTTATTCTGATCAGACAGTTGCAGACACGTCAATAATTGATGATAATGCTGACTTTGGGGTTACTGTAGGAGTTGAAAAAACTGGAATCACTGAGGATGAGAAATGTGGTGAAGACCCAAGTGAAGAAGAAGTTAACAGTCCTATGCATATGGCATCTTGGAACTCTCTTCAAGTTGGAGAGACTGAGATAACTGAGGAGGAGACTTTACAGCCAGAAAACCCTGGCACTGAAGATGAAAAGTGTAGCATACACCCTGTTGAAGGCATTAAGAGTTATTTGGATATGGCTTCTGGCCACTTTGATCAAGTTGCTGAGATAATGATAACTGATAATAGAGATACATTGGCTCCTACTAATGTTTCTAGAGAGATTCTGGCGATTGACAAGGCTTTCAGGCAACCAGAAACTGGGGCCATGGAGGATGAGAAGTGTAGTATAGACCCAATCGAAGGAGTTAACACTTATTTGGATAGGGCATCCAACTCTTCGGTACAAGTTGGGGAGATTGTGATCACTAATGACAGTGCCTTTGGGGATGATATGTGTATTATCAACCCAACTGGCAGAGTTGATAATTCTTTGGATGTAGCATCTGAGTCCTTCGTTCAAGTTGGAGAGATGGTGATAACTGATGATAATGATACTGTTTGTCCTACTAAACATTCTGGTGAGATTCCAGCAATCGATGAAACATTCCAGCAGCTAGAAACTGGTTTCACTGAAGATGAGAAGTATTTGAAAGACCGAACTGGAGTTGAGAGTTCTTTGGACATGACATCTAACTCCAAGGATCATGTTGGAAAGGTGGTGGTGATAACTGAAAACGGTTACCTCGAATCCATGGAGTCTTTGGCAATTGGGGAGATCTCAAAGAAGCCGGAAGTTGAGTACATTGAGGATGAAAAGTGTATTAAAGATGCAAATGTAGGAGTTCAAATGGCTTTGGAAGTTGGAGGGGCATTGATTACTAATGCAGATGCTAGTGAGTTTTCGACAACTGGAGAGACTTTCAAGCAGCCAGAAACTGACGAGAGCATTGAGAATGAAAAGAGCAATGAACACCCAAGGGAAAGAAATGAAAGTTCTTTGGAAATGGCTCTGGCGGACTATGATGAACAAGCTGTAGAGCAAAAGATTTCCAGCAGAGAGCTTGAAAATGAATGTAATGAAAATGCTTCTTCCTTGAATTTAGAGTCTTCTGATTATGATTATGGTAAAGAGACTGTTGATTCAAGAGATAAAGATTTCAGAGACCAAGATAACGAATCTTTGAAAATGGTTTCTGGTTATGACATTGCAAAGATGAATGATGATGTTGTTGTTGTTGTTGAAGAATTAAATATGGGTGCTGGTGGGTTTATCAGCAAAATTCCCAGCGAGTTTCCAATGGTCAATGAAACTTCTCTGCAACCTGATACATGTGATTTAGAAAGAGAAAACATGACCAACCCCACTCACATTTTGGCCAATGGAAATGTTTTCGAACCTCGCCAAATCAAAGACAATGCATTCTCCAGCAAATTACTTGAGGGCAAAGAGAATCCATCAGAGAGTTTGGATGAAAACCAACAGCTTAAAAATAAGTGCAATGAGGGTAGTGATCGGAAGACAATGGCTAGAAGTGTTGGGAGAACAGAAGAGGACAAGGATAATAGAGAGAGAAAGGAGTCGAAGGATTTGACAGGGAAGAGTCTAAGGAAGCTTCGTGCTTTATTGAAGGAAACGATCAAGGTAAGAGAAGACACTCACTGTTTAGAATTTGGGTTTTTATAGTTACTCAAAGAATACATCACTGCACCTTGATTCTTATTTCTGTGTGTGTGTGCATGTCTGATGGATTTGGCCCAATGCAGTTAAAGAAGGAAAGAGCTCCCTTGAAAGAGTTATTGGAAAATTGTTAGCATGACAAAGAAAAGATTGTGCCAGCCAGAAACAGGTAAGAAAGAGGAGTTAACTTGTATGTATCTTAACACAATTCAAACTTGTATTACTTGCTTGTATCTGAAAATAGCATTGTAGATCCGTGAAAATAGCACACACACTTTGCATGCCCCTCTCTCTGTGAAATTGGATTTTATCTGATTGGATTTTTGGTATGTAATGCAGATGAAGGACAGAGCTCCCTTGCAAGTGATATCTGAAAACCGTCTTGCTTGATAGTGGAGAATCGAGTGATATTTGAAAACGTCTTCACTATGTGTAATTGGATTTTATCTGATTGGATTTTTGGTATGTAATGCAGATGAAGGACATAGCTCCCTTGCAAGTGATATCTGAAAACCGTCTTGCTTGATAGTGAAGAATCGAGTGATATTTGAAAACTCTCTTGCAATTGGATTTTCTTGCGTTGTTTTGATTTTCGTATTGCTACGTCATCTTCAAGTTATGGATGATGGTCTTGATGAAAATGACTTTAATAAATTTCTTTGAGGGAGATCTTGATGCCAACTTCTATTTTAATTTCTCACTTTAGAGAGAGAGAGAGGGGAAGAGAGCAATGCCCTGAAACAAATTACTTTAACGGTGCGGAGCTTCTAAACAATCAAAGTGAAACGCACCTTCAAATAGTGCCGAGAAATGTGGTTTCAATATTAAAATCTTTGTGATAGCTTTAAAATATATTTTTATTTTCTATTGTAAAATTTAAAGCTTAAAAAATAGTGTAGATCGAGCATATATATGAAAACTTGAAAATCTTGAAAATTGACGGTTCAAAAATACATTACAAGAAGCACTATTTCTAAAATTTGAAATCCATTTCTTTCTCATGTCCATGCATTTTGATGTCGAGATATTTGGGCACCAAAACAACCTCTTCTAATGAAATTTTTTAGGTGGGCTCTAATTTGATTGTTTAGAGCCTCGGCTCTACATAAACTTTTTCCTTAGGAAAAGTATACAAAGAAACCATTTACTTTTCGGGTGGGGTTTGTATAGAGCCGAGGCTCTAAACAATCAAAGTAAAGCGCACCCTCAAATAGTATCGTGAAATGTGGTTTCAATATTGAAAATCTTTGTGATAGCCTTAAAATACAGTTTTTATATTTAATTATAAAATTTAAATCTTAAAAAATAGTGTAAATCATGCAGATCTATGAAATCTTGAAAATTGACTGTCTAAAAATGTGTTACAAGATGCACTATTTCCAAAACTTGAAATCCATTTTTTTCTCATGTCCATGCATCTTGAAGTCGAGATGATCAATTTGAGCATATTTGGGCATCAAAACAACCTCTTCTAGTTAAATTTTTTAGGTGGGTTTTAAATTTGATTGTTTAGAGCCTCGACTTTGTATAAACTTTTTCCTTTACCAAACACTTTCCTCGTTAAATTTCAAATTGGTTGGTTGTAAGAGAATCATTGAGTAGACTCAAAGTTAAAAAAAAAATTTCTTAAACTTCGTGACACGTCCCAAGCCATCCAATTTAACATCTAATTACTAAAAATAATTGTGACATTATTGTAACAAAGGTAAATTATCTAATAGTATACAATCTATGTTAGAACTGGGGAAAAAGTTCATTTGACGTTACAACCTTAAAATGTAGAATTAAGGTGCACCTCAAAAATCTATCGGAAAAGATTGTTTCGATGTGACAAAATCCTCTCGACATCGAAATGTATGAATATAAAAGAAAAAAAGGTTTCAATTTCCAACCTACCATATTTCACATCGGATGGTTGTAAGTAATTGCGACCTCCCTATTCCGAAAGTAAATGGTGTCACTATGTACAATCCCTTTCCAAAATTATTGCATTTTTGCAACACTACCTGAACCATCAATTTTCAAGATTTTCACGTGTTTATGGATCTACTTTATTTAAACTATTTTTCAAGTTTTAAATTTTATAATTAGATATGAAAATGGATTTTCAGGCCATCATCAAAAATTTTAATACTAAAATTCCATCTTATAATGAAATTTAAAGGTGCGCCATGCCATTTATGTGTTTTGTTCTTCTCATTGGTGTCAAATATGAAGATACTGGAAAATATGAAAAAGAGACAGAATTAAACACATCTAGATTAGAAAAAGTTAAAAAGACAACGATACACGCGACAAAGATCTTTCAAAGCTATTCGTAATCACCAAATTTTTTCAAGAAATAACAGTAACTACTCTTCACTAAAGATTCAATAATCATTCATAATGTATAGGTGACTTGGTCATTTGCTAATTTAGGACATGAGAATAATGTACATTTTACTTACTCAGCAAAAGAGCTACTTAGGATGATTTTTTTATATCAGAGAATTAGGAATCCACTTAAGAATCTCAGTGACTTTGGAATCCGCTTAAGAATCACGACATAATTATTTGATTACATATTTTTTTAAGTTAAAGACTTAAATTCGACCGTCCATATATTAGATGTTTCTTTTTTTTTTTTTTGGGGGTAAGTATTAGATGGTCTTTGTTGAATCTTAGGATTTTGTTTTTGTTTTTTTTTGTTTTAGGTAGATCAATAAGTGGAAGAGAATATATCCCCATCAATAGGGGCCCGTTTTTGTTTTTTTTGGTTTTTGTTTTAGGTTGATCTCGAAGTTGTTTTTTGGTTTTTTGTTTTAAGTTGATCACTAAGTTGAAGGGGCCTTAAAACTATTAATAGATTGAGTTTTACCTGAGGGAGTAAATAGAGGAAATGCTTTTTGACTAGCGAATGACAAATTCCTTACACCCCTTTGTTGACAAGGTTACATAAGATTATAATTTTTTTTTGTTGACAAGGTTACATAAGATTATAATTATTTTTTTTTGACAAGATTATATAGGAATGTAAATCGTTTTTTCCATACACCCCTAGTTGTTTTTTCTCTTATTTGTTTTTGACAAGATTATATAGGAATGTAAATCTTTTTTTCCATACACCCCTAGTTGTTTTTTCTATTTTTTTTTCGCTGACAAGGTTACATAAGATTGTAATTTTTTTTATTTTTATTTTTGACAATATTACATAGGAATGTAAATCTTTTTTTTTTAACAAGATTATATAGGAATGTAACTTGAGTCATTGGGCTAGAAAAACTTAGCCTCTACCATCTTGGCCCGAGCCCGTTTCCTATGACCCTAGTGTTTAAGTAGATGTTTAGATGGTTAATGCATTCAGTTTTACCCAAGAGCACACCCAAGACCCAACCGTAAGCGGAGTCCCTCCATGCTGGAGTAGACTTGCCAAAATAAATAATTAGTTTCGTCCAAACAGGCCACACTACAAAATCACCATATTCCACTTTAAGTTCATAAATTTAAAGGAACAAAAATCCAAAATTATGGCTTTGTCAGAGAAAAATAAGCAGATCGTTTCACATTCTAATAAGTTCGTGAAAACCATAAATCTATTGCAATAATAGAAGTAAGAGCATCAAGCTCCTCATGAGTGTATGTGATATATTGCCATTGACAAGAAAATACTATTTTTCATTTTTTTTGTTTGTTTAGATTACTAAAATTATTGTCAAAGTAATATATTTATGGAACCTTATCGGGAAATATTTTTCCATTACTAAAGGAAAATGTTTCTATGTGGCCTAAGTTATATGCGACCCCACTTCTTAGTCATTCGATTTGAATCGAACAACTACGATTGTTCATTCCTCAATGTCACTCCAAACATTGTTTTATTATTATTTTTTTCTACAAAATAGTTTTGGATGAAATTTTGGACATCCCATTAGAAAATTAGGGCAAGCTTGAGAAATTTTTTTTTTTTTTTTGTAAAACTAATAAATGATCAAAATGCGTCTGCAATGTCATTTTATATTTTATGCAATCCTATCCTTCCTTGTAGCCAAGTAAGGAAGAAACCCTTGTACCTAACGCAGTAATAATTATGTCACGAACTTGGACTATTCCATTGCTCTTTTTCTTTCATTTCTCCAATACTATCTGCTACGGCTCAACCAAACCAATCAAATAAGAATTAGAACAAAAATACATTTTCTACAACCATGAAAAATTCTTTCTATATTTCCCATCCAATTAGGAAAATATGATAATGTCCTTCAAAAATTATTAAAACCCCTATTTTTTTACATTTTATCCGGATCCTCAGTTTAGATTTCGAAGCAAGAAATGTGAAACATGTATTCTGATAATTATTAATCATCAAAAATATATTATTATTATTTTTATCATGTAGGTCCCTTTGAGATCTATGCATATCCTAAAATTTTGGTTTAAAATGATGTATAGAATAAAAATTTAAAATATAAAACTCTGAACCGTCCGATTAAGATTAAAAAAAACCAATTTGTGCCATCTACTTATATGTGATGGTGTGGGTGGGGTTACATGGAAAACCTTGCCATTGCTGAAAGGGTAAAACAGTAGTAAGAATTAGAGAGCGTGTATACCACCAGGGGGCTTAGGGCTCATAGCAAGAGTGGAGGAAGAAGAGAGGGAGAGGGAGAGGGAGAGGGAGAGAGAGAATGAGTGCGACGGGGTTGGCGGCCACCTATCTGGCGAGGAGGGCTGCTCAGAAAGAGAGAGTGAGGATATTGTATCGCAGAGCCCTAAAAGATGCGCTCAACTGGGCCGTTCATCGCCACATTTTCTACGAATCGGTGCGCATCTCTCTCTCATACATTCATTCTCTCTCTACTTATTCACTCTCTTCGTTTGATCAATGTACTTTCTCTCTCTTGATTTTAATGGATTTCTCTATCATCTTTCATTTCAAACGCACTCTCTCTCAATAATCATTTCATGAGTGAGGGAGATGATCTCTCTCTGTGAAATATTTCATTATTTTTTTAATCAATTTAGTGCTATGTTATTCTCCCCCGCTAATTTCATTTCTATGGATGATTTGTATGAATTAGTTCTCTCCAATTTATAGCTATTTATCATCATTTTAGTTACTATTTTTGTGGAATTTTAGTGTAGTTTTATTGAATATTTTGTTCAAAATTCTCGCTTTAATTGTTTTTGAGTCATTTTTTCTCTAGTTGTGTGAATCCTCTGGGCATGTTATGATGTGATATGGGATGCAATTAGTTTTTTTGTTTTTTGGTTCGTTCAAATCAGAAGACCTGCAAGAACTCTTTCTCTGCAGGATTCGAGTCTAATTTGGAGCAATAAGAGCAAAACAAAAGCAATTAAAATTGGATAATGGTAATGGATATTATTCAACAGCATAATGGCGAAGAGTGAGGCAAGAAGTCCAAGAATTCAGGCTTATCCTTCCCTGTTTTTTAAGAAATCTCTTTCCATTTAATAACTGGTCGTGTTCATCGTCACCTATAAACTCGATCGGGTCCTAAGATGGCAAAGTCATGGTTTCCTTATATATATTTCATAATGGAGTTTGCATTCTAAGTTGCCCTCTAGGCAATGAGGATCTCTATGAGTCATGAGTATCCAAAGTGCCTAACCATAAGCACACGGTTCCCAACCATAGGCAAAAGAATCTATTGTCAACAAGTGACATAATGCAATCTTACCTTCATATTGATGAATAGAATGGTAAATAGGCTACTGAAATTTTTCTTCCAAATTCATGGTGGGACTTGCATCTATATATTCTGAAGAACTAAATAGTCTGTTATTTGTATAAATGGCATATCCAATGTTAATAATTCCCGCACTGTTTACCATGTGTACTACATTGTTTAAAATTACAAAGGGAATCAGTTGTAGGGGACAGTGTATTTTGGAGGGGTGCTAGTGATGGCATTGCCTAAAAAATCATCATCATCATCCGAGCTGTACCCCCAATATATTTGGTGGGGTTAACTACACGAATAATGTTCTACCATTCAGCTATATCAAGGGCTTTACCTTCAATCAGACCATAAATCACTATATTTCTTCTCACTACTTCTATCCATGTCCTTTGGGGCATTCGTTCCTCTTGCCCTTTTATAGTCTTCCACTTGAACCAAATTAGCCCTTTTAATAGGTGTTGTTCTAGGTTGACACTGTATATGGACAAACCACCTAAGTGTACTTTCCCTCATTCTATCACTTATTGGAGCTACCCCAAAGTTCCCTCAAATGCATTCATTATGAATTCTATCCTTTCTTGTCTTGGCCATCATCCATCTCGACATCCTCATTTCAGCCATACTTCTATGGATATGTTGTTTCTTTATCGCCTAACATTCCGTCCATTAAGTGTGGTTGGTCTTACAACTGTCCTATAGAACTTCCCCTTCAGTTTCGTTGGTATCCAACGATTATATAAGACGCCAGAGGGACATTCTCTATGTAGCTTTAATTCTATGCGTGACATCTGCCTCGGTCTGTCCATTCTCATCGTTATCGACCCAATATATTGAAAATAATCTCTTTTAGGTACTTCTTGGCCATCAATTTTAATTAATTCATCATTTCTACTCCTATTATTACCACATTTGCATCCCATATGTCTTAGTCCGGCTAATTTTAAAACCTTTAGATTCTAGAGCATCCCTCCAAAGTTCTAATTTTGTATTGATGTGGCGTGTTAAATGTGTTGCCTAAATCTTCAGATGAAGGTATAATTTTCTTCTTGCTTTGAATGTAGATCACCTTTCCCATAGTATTAAATTCATTTTGGGTTGTTGTTCCTTGGCTTGGGGTTTTGGGTTTGTCAACCAAAGTTTCTAGGGTACATGCTTTTGCAGTTGGACGAGTGCTATAACATGTGCTCATCCTTTGTCTTTATTAGATGGTACTTTATTGGTCATATACTTCTTCCTAATCATTTGTGAAAACCTCTAAATTGCTCTTCCTTTGGCTGTTTGTTTCCTTTCCATCATTTTTTTAAGAGTAATTTACATGTGTCCTCCTAAAGTCCCGTTGTTTAGAAAGTAGCAAAATTTTTATGTTATCACGTCATATTTTTTAAAAGTGACAATTTTGCCCCTCCTCCGGATTTTGAGAATCTGAAGTATTAAATTTATACTGTAAGAGGCCGAAGAATACTTCGGAATTTTAAAATCTGAAGTACGTTAGTTGAGGATATACTTCGGAACTTGAAAATCCTAAATTTTACAGTTGGACAAATACTTTTGAATTTTTAAAGTTTGACAAAGAAAACTTCGGCATTTCAAGTTTGAAGTATTTTCTCAACTAAAATACTTCGGAATTCCAAAGTTCTCTTAGGCCCCACTTGCACGCCTCACTGATTTGGTGTATATAAATCTTAAACTTCGGAATCTCAAAAACCCAAGTATGGGCAATATTGTCATTTTAAAAATTGCGAACAAATTGGATACAGACGTAATAACATGAAAATTTTGGAATTTTTTAAATAACGTGACTTTGAGGATATACATTTAAATTGCCCTATTTTTAATAATCTCATTCACTTCCTCATTAACATCACTTGGGACATTGGGATGTCAACTCCCAATATGATGTCTAATCCTACCTAATATTTATCAATTCACTTATCTAATGACCACTGTATGTAAATTGTCAGTATTGGCATGAATGGTGCTGTTCTTTTCATCATCTGTATTAAGATGATTCATGTGACATGGGATGGGGGTCTTAGTTGTGTACTAGGTTTAATTATTTCATTTCTAGCTTTTGTAGACGGGTGCGGTTTCTAGAAATGATCCACAAAGATAATCTCCGAGATAAATCATCAAACAGGAATTGCACCTATAGATGGAAGTAGATTGTTATTTTTGTCTCATTAACCATTCATTCCTATTTTAGTCAAAATGTAATGATAATTACCAAAAAAACATTATTTACTTGCACAAGTTAAGAAATTAAATATTGACAGAGTCCTTGAACTGCGACTATTAATATTTTCTCTACAGTACATGTTATTCTTTCCCTATCCTAGTAAGCTTCAATTTATATAGCAGTTGCCCCTAAAATATTACACAAACTTTATTTTGTTTGCCGGGCACTGTTTTGTTTTAAAAAATGTCTTTAGCTACCAACTGTATTGGTTTGTCTGTGAGAGTTTGGATATTTAAATATGATTTTGTATAGGCTAAAATACTCTTGAGTTGTTTTATTTGCATGGAGAATTTTTATTAAAATCTTTACTAGCTTGGATTCTATAGTCATAATTTTCTGCAATTCTTCTTCCATTAAACCATGCATGACATGCAGAAATAGGTTTCCTTTATGAGTTATAAGCATTTTCTTGTATTCCCCCCTTTTGATTTTGCAGTTGGCAGTTTTCTATAGAACTTCTTGGTTCTAGACCATGTCAGTTGACTTTGTTTTCTTTAATGAAAGGCGGAGATGACAATTTTTCACTCTTATTATTTACAGGCACAGGAACTGAGAGATAAATTTGAGGCAAATAGATATGTGGTATGCATGTACATCTTAGATATAACCTTCAAATGCAATTATAATGTTGTAATTATTTCAGATGGATGATATCTTTTTACTGGAAACTGTGGAATTTATATGAAATTGTCATGCTTTGATGTATTTATGAGGAATCTTTGGACCATGCTGTTGCCTGCCTTACAAATGTAAACACACTCTGCTATGGTGTGGTTGTTTTATCATTCTACTAGAAATGGGCTTAGCATTTTGTTCTTTGGTAGCATGCTAGTCTTCTTTGTACTTTAGTGTTCAGGGATGTTTTTGTCCATATGTCCATTATTAATGCATATTGCATAAGTTAGCGTTATGTCAATTAGATTCTCAATTTATGGGTGTTTAAAGTTGTGGGTGTTTATGAAATGGCATCAAATCTGATGTAAGAGAAATTCAAATTTCATCTATTGGACATATAAGCGGTCAGATTTTTTATACTAAAGACTAGCAAGTTGATCTAGTTTCATTTTGGGCCCTATAAGATGGCTGGAATTAAAATACCATGGATCTTCGGATTTTATCAACTGAACCAACATTAAAGCAGTCAGCTTTTGATTTTTCTCCTTTATGGTATTGAAGATGGTTTGAAATTGAAATACCTTGTATACTATAAACGTACTAGGCAAAGACATTATTGGAGGTAACACATAATTGATTCACAACATGTGCCAATTTGATATAGCGCTAGAGTTTCTTAGAGGAATGTTAAAAAATTTGGCCTCCCGACCACCTAGGCTGCCTGGAGGCCAAGATGCCTAGAAGCCTCTTAGGCAGGCTTCCTAAGCATCTTGCGTTTAGGCACCTAGGTGGCTCCTCAATGCACCCTACCCGAGGGCGGTAACAGGCTCTCTGCCAAGGGCATTTTTGACATTCCCCCCCCTGAAAATGTGGGGGAAGGGTTTTGGGGGGCATTCTAGTCCCCAAAACCATCTTGTGTGTTTCAGAGAGTGAAAAAACTCTAAAAAATCTAAGATTTTTAGATTTATGTCAAGATCGAAAAAAAATTTCAACATCTTTTATTTCTTGCGAAATCAAAAGATAATACTTTCACGATACTTTTTAGAGCTTGGATTGGTTGCATAAGAGGACTTTTGGCGACCAAAGATCACTAGTTAGTATACAGTATTTGAATTAGGGTTTGGTTTTTTGTATAATGTGTTGTGATTTGATGTTCTTTTATTTTTGTTTTTCTTTTGTGATATTTTTACATATTTGTAGTTAGAATATTTTGTATTGGATTCATGTTGAAAAGCTTAGTGCGTTACAAGGTTTAGTATTTTTTGTATAATGTGTTATGATTTGATATTCTTTTATTTTTTTTGTTTTACTTTTATGATATTTTATATTTTTACTTGTTTTTAGTTGGAACGTTTTGTGAATATTTACTTGTTTCAGCCTATATTTGGTGAAGGAAAAGTATCTTGTCCACATGATGTGTACGGAAGGAAGGGTGCACAAGAACTCTTCCAATGGTTGAGATTCACAAGGCCATATGTAATGGCCAAAAATTATTTTCAGTATTTGATTTTTTATTTTTTATTTAAATAAGTTAATTTTCTAAATTTAGGGTTGTAGGTTTCTTTTTATAAATATAATTAAATAAAAATAATTAAAGATATTTAAAATAAAAATAACTAAAATAGCCCTAAATTTATTGTGATCAATAATTTTATTTTAAATGTTTTTATTATTTTTATTGAGTTCTAATTATAAAAATAAAACTAAAACCCAAATTTTGTAGTAGTATCATTTTTAAAATAAAAATTAAAAGTAAAAAACTAAATTCATTTTTACCTTGGATGAGGCTGGTTCAATCTAAACCATTAAAAGGTGCTTGTGCACCTTTTGAGCGTCCACAACTCATGTATGCAATACCATATAGTTCTAACTAAATTGATATTTTGTGAATACTTCTGTGTGATATTATGTGATTCATATTTTGTGAATATTTTGATTGGAAAACCAAATCTTAGGGATATTATGTTATCTATCTACTATATATTAAGCGAGAAGAGGACCTCACCTATTTTTATGACACGTGTCTCTCAAAATTTGAAAATGTGCCTTAAAACTCTCCCATCAAAATTCAAATGTCCTATATCTACCTTCCCTCTTAATCCTATCTCCATCCTATCCAAGGTTTGGCACACCGTTGCTCCACCAAAAGTTCCGGCGTTCAATTGGATTGCCTGTTGTCAAAGGGCTCCCACAGTTGACCAGATTCAAAAAAGAGGCAGTCAACTCCCCATTAGGTGTGCCATGTGCATTGGTGAAGAGGAATCAAACCCTCACCTCTTCATTCACTGTAGTCTTGCCTACGACTTGTGGAGCATGGTGCTTCAGTTGTTCCACTTTCAATGGGTCACCTCACCTTCGGTAAAGGCTAGAATCTCTTCATACTATGTTTGCCATTGGCCAAAAGCCGGTAGAACTTTGTGGAAGTCTGCCATTGCTGCAACCATCTGGGTAATTTGGTTAGAAAGAAATGAGAGGATCTTCCGAGGGCACAAAAATGAAGCCCCAGTGCTCTTCCATAAGGTTACAACCCTAGTAACGTTTTGGGCCCCTAACCACAGGGCTTCCATAAGGTTACATCCCTAGTAACTTTTTGGGCCTTTAACCACAGGGCTTCCATGAGGTTACAACCCTAGTAACTCTTTTAGCCTCTAACCGCAGGGCTTCCATAAGATGACAACCCTAGTAACTTTTTGGGCCTCTAACCACAGGGCTGTTGTGGAGATCCCCGCAAATACGTTTCTCACCCAATGGGAGAACATTCTTTGTCTACAGCCACATAAGACCCAAAGACCCCACAACTGGCAGCCTCCTCCAGATGGCGCCATAAAGCTTAACTTCGATGGTTGTACGTTGGATAACCTGGGCCCAGCTGGAGCTGGAGGTGTCTTCCGTGATCATAAATGCAATATTCTTTTTACCTACTCAGAATATTTGGGGCAAGAAGACTCCTAGTTTGCAGAAGCCATGGCTCTTCTAATGGGTCACAAAAATTTTAACCCTTCATTGGGCCCAATTTTGGTAGTGGAAGGAGACTCCAAAAACGTCATTTCCTGGGCTGCAGGCGTTAGAACACCCCCTTGGTACCTTTCCACGATTTTTGATGAGATTGATTTCATATGCAAGGATATGAACGTCTTTTGGAGGCATACTTGGCGGACGTTGAATGAATTCACCGATCTTCTTGCTAAATACGGAGCAAGGGCTTGTTCCGAAGACCCCACCTGATCCATCTCCTTTTTTGCTTTGGACCACAGAGGGCGTCTAGGACTGTAATTAGTCACATCTACTATTCTTGTAATCGGGCACTCTTATTGGACATTTGAATTTTGATGGAAGAGGTGCATGAGATGAAAGTAGTTATTGGACATTCAAATTTTAATGGTAAAGTTTTAAGGAAACATTTTGGAAGAGGTGCTCGAGATGAAAGTCGCTATGGGACGTTTGAATTTTGATGGGAGAGTTTTAAGACACCTTTTCAAATTTTGAAAGACACATGTCATAAACATAGGCGAGGTCCTCTTCTCGCTTTGGAAGAGGTGCGTGAGATGAAGGTAATTATAGGATGTTTGAATTTTCATTGGAGAGTTTTAAGGTACCTTTTGGAATAGGTGCATGAGATGAAGGTAGTTATAGGACCTTTGAGTTTTGATGGGAGAGTTTTAAGGCATCTTTTCAAATTTTGAGAGACGTGTCATAAAATTGGTGAGTTCCTCTTCTCTCTTAATATATATCTACTATTTACTATATACCATATATATATATATATATATGTATGGGAATGGATCTTGTTAGCCATGGCTAACAGCTAAAGTGTCAACCAACGACCCAGATTGAATTTGGCCCCGATCCAATGGTCACAACTTCATTTCGTATTTGAAATTTTTTTCTACAAATCTAAATCACTTGAAATTTTGAGCGTCTATTATTTAAAAATAGGAGAATCCAATAAAAATAATATGCAAAACTTAAATTGACCAAAATACCCCAAAAAATTTTCAAGGGCATTTTGGTCAATTTATATTTTGTGAATTATTTGTTAGTATTTTTATTAGGTGCACCTTGATGAGAAGAATGAACCCCTAAGATTTCGAGTGATTTGGATTTGTAGAAAAAAAAAATGAAATTCAAATACGAAATGAAGTTGTGACCGTCAGATCCGCCCAGATTCATTCTGAGCCGTTGGTTGACACTATAGTTGTTAGCTTGTGGGCTGACAGGATACATTTCCTATATATATATATATATATAGTTGTGACTTGATATACAAATTTTATTATAATAATAATAACAACAATGACAATATGTTAATTATTAAATAGTTCATCTCTTATAGATATTTTGATTAATTTCTTTAATAATCCGTTAACAATAGTAATAAATATCTTGATTAATCATTTTACAAGTTCAAAATATATTGATGCAATTGTAAAACAGATCATAATATTAGAAAAAAATTCATTTTCTTTTCAAGTTTAAATTTGTAGAGTGGGGTCCATGGAGGTAAGATTGGTTTTGTGCAACTGAAGAGAAAGGGATGGGAGTTGACTAATGGATGGGTTTGGCATTTTGTAAGACAAAAAGATCGAATTTATAAAAAGAACAAAAGAAAAACCATAATTAGAGGGCTAACGGTCCCAAAGTTTTAAACGTGTGGGAGTACAAGGGATTTTGGTGAAGCCAAGGGCCTAATAGGGATGGAAATTACAATGTGTCCAGTTTAAAGAAATTCTACATTTATGTTAATTTCTTTAAAAAGTTGTGGGTAGTACAAAATAATGGCACCACAAAAAACAATGAATTTAACTGCTCTAGGCAATATTTTACTTTAAGATTAATACTTTTTTTAAAATAATTTAACACATGTCGTGCGGGTAGCACAACATAGTGCCACCACGAAAAAGACATGTTCCATTGTTCTAAATAGTAGTTTACTTTAGATTAATATTAGTTGAATGTTAACTTTGAATCTTAATAATTATTTATACCTTTATAAGTATAATATCAATTTATCAATCGAATTTTAGTTTTTAAGTTTCATTTGTTCCAATTCAATATAAGTTACATGGGTTATTCTTACAATGGAAAAATTTCACTATTGCTTTTCAGTAGGTATCTCTAGAGCCACTTAGCGTTGACATCTTAACTCATCACACAAGTTAAGCTGGCAACAAAACATATCACCACGACAAACATATCTCAGGACATCCTATGATTTTTTAAGCCAAAATTACATCTTATGATAAAATTTGATAGTGCACCTTACTTTGATTGTTTAAGGTTGGAATCTTATGTAAACCACACCCTTTTTAAAAATCTTCTAATTTATTTTAAAAGAATTCAAATCACGTATGTAGCACGTGGGTTTTGCTAGTGTTATATTATGTGTGAGTGATTCTTCTATCGGTTTATGTAATATGTACTTTGAGTTTTGTTGCCATTTGCCAAATGGCAATTCGATTATTATTATTATTTTTTAATGTGAATGTGATGAATGATGATGTCTATGATTATTTAGTTTTAGGGGTTTTGGGGCCCTAAAACTGCCCTAAGAACTCCCTAGGAGGCCTAAATCCCTGCTCTAAGAACTCCTTGGGTGCCTAAATCCATTCCTTGTGGCCGGGTCCCCCCTTGTTCTTGGGCGCCCACCTAGGCTGGTGAGCGGCAGGACCCCAAATCACCTAGGCGGGCACCTCCGAGTTTTTGAACATTGGGTACAAGGGAGCTTCCAAAACCCTTTCATATCTATATAAATGTTTTTGTGGAATATATAAATAATGGCAGGAGGGATATAACAAGGTTCTAGGAGGCGGTTCCAAATACTTGATATTGAAACAGGACCCCTGCAGGTCGCTGATCCAATGTGAATAAGGGATGGGATGCAGATTCCTAGCACCAAGCACCAAGCACCAAGCACCAAGGTCTTACTGTGACTAAGGGATGAGAACAAAAAAGAAGATGGGAGTTGTGGAAGGGCTGAACACCAAGCTTTCATGTCCCCTAAAACTAATTTTGAATTGTCGTCCTTTCACTCATTTTCTTTTTTCCAGTTAAGAGGACCGATTCATCATGTCCTTCTAAAACAGACTTAAAAAGCTTTAGAATTCTTCAGTTATCAAGAGATTTGGCATATTGAGCTGATGTTCACATGTCCAATTGCTCTAAAAACCTCCGTAAGTCCCGGACAATAGTGTGCCAGAGTTGCTAAATGAATGAATAGTAAATCTGAGTTAACTTGCTTATGATTTTTGGTGCTTTAGCACTTTAGGCCGCTTTATACATAACAGGCATGCAAATATGCAATCCCCATTGCTAGATAAGTTTGTTTATGATGTCAATTCAGTTAGAACAACTTTAACTGAAGGAAGAGATTAAAATATTTAATTCTATGATTGTCGCATCATATTTTAGTACCGTTCCCCTCCCCCCCACCCCCCCCCCACAAAACCCCCCCACCCTACAGCCCTTTTTTTTGTAGTTACTTTTTTCATATTTATGCTGTATAGCATTTTTTGAGCAGCCCACCCCTCTTTTTTGCTGTTGTGGGCCTGTCTTCTCTGTGTTTTTTGTTTAGAGCATCCAAGCTGTGGGATGCCTATACTTTTGTACTCTTGCACCATCATAATACAAATGTTGACAGTTTCAAAATAATAATAGCAGTAATAATATTCGACTACAGTTCAAATTTGTCAACTTCTGCTAGGATCTCAAGATACAGAATTATCTTAGTTAATTGAAGGAAATCTGATGTCTACAGTTAACCTTATCAAAAAAAAAGAAGAAGGAAATCTGATGTCTTCCCAAGTATCCTATCGGAAAAAATGTACCTTGCGAATCCATGCACATTGCAGTCTTTATTGACTAATCTTAAATGCCTTTACCATGAATATCATAAAATCCAAGTGAGATGTAAAAGAATTAGAGTGGACTGTAAATAGAATGTGAATTATAAAAGTGTATAGAAATTCTATAAAAAATTCGGCAACCTAGAATTCTAGAAATTAATATTGAAAATGGGCAAAGATGTAATAGAACTCATTCATTACATATTATAATAATTACATAGAAAAGTATATAATAGTTCAGTTTCAGAATGGTTTGTTGGTTTCGAATTACATACCAAGGGACAAATATATGGACCATTAGTGTGGCAAATGGACATCAAATACCATTAGTGTGGCAAATATCTGGCTGTGTACTTTCAGCTTTTGATTTACCATTCAACCATTTGTTTATATCTACATCAAGATTTTACTTTGTTAGGAACAATATGAAAGGAATAGAATTGATGGTTTTCATGGTTTTTTGTTGAGATGTATTTCCAAGAAATATGTTAAGTGGTTTGAATCTATTTGACATATTTCCAGGAAGATCTTGACACAATCGACAGGATGGTTGATGACGCTGAGGCAACCTTCAACAAGATGCAGCACCCGGATCCTTATATTGGTACGTTGATTAGTTTCTAATGCATTGTGTCTCTTGAGAGTTCTGACAAAGTTCTGTTTTTTGCCGGTTGTCTTAGATACAGTTTCCCTATATATTTGATTGTCACTTCTTCCCTCTTTGAGTTCTTTCCAATGAGAATAATTTTTTCTCTTCTATAACATTCCCATTCCTTTGCACCTATGATAATCACTAATTACCAAATATTAATGGAATTTTGATTTTGACAATTCCATTACACTATGACCTTTCTTGTGCACAGGCCATAATTTACTGAAAAATATATTTAAGATATGCATTAAATGTGCTCTATATATCTAGTTGGTATGTCATTACATGAAGGACTTATCTTCTACAAGGTTTAAAAAATGTTCTAAAATGAACAAGTGAGCTGGTTAATATGCTACATGATAAAGATGTTACTACTGTAATTTATAGCCAGACTCTGAAGATATGGCTTTTCAGTACTAGACTATGCATTTTCTTTTTAACTAGGACTTGCAAGGCATTGCAGCTTGCAGTCTTGCATCTATACTCCAATTTTTGCATTTAGAGAATTCCATTGTGAGCGGGAGCATGACCCATCCTGTATAGCCAATGAGAAATTCCTTTAATCCAGTTCAAAATGTCGCTTTATTCTATTACCATTTTCCATTGTTACTACTCCAGCTGCTTCCCTTTTACTTGACAAGGGATTGCAAGAAAGTTCGCAGAGTTTCTGATTTTGCTCACTGCTAGGATCATCCAATATTTCTCTAGTTAATAAAGGTACTTATTCATCTTGGCCTTTAAGCAGTACTCAAGCAGTACTCATCATCAAATAATTTTGGATTATGTTTTCTGCAGAAACATAAATGTGATATTACTTTATTAAGTGGAACCAGCCAAATTAATCAATTACCCAAAAAAAAGCCCCCACAAATTAATTCTACTGAGCTGGTAGAGTTCTGAATTTCTCTAGTCACTATCTGGCATTCCTGGTATGTCATACTTGTTATGGAAATTGAGGCTATTCAAGACACATGGTGACGGATTCAACATTTCCTCCTTTAATTCACCGTAGGTGCTGTATTGCCCATGAGCCATGGGAATCTGACAACCATATCATCCTCAGAAGACCAAGAGATCAAATTTTTCCAGTTAATAGACAAACAATAAACCGATGTCACTAAGTATTCACTCAAGGGAATACACATTAATTCTCATACATAGACTCCATAAATAACATATACTTAGAACACATGGAGCCCCAAACGAATATACACTGATATAATGGCCCAACATGCCCGAAGTGAGTATGTCGACCAAAACAAATGTCACTGCAAGTTACTATTCGCCACAAATCTGCTTACATTATTTGTTTTTTTTTGTTTTTAGTGAAGTTAATTTGTTGAAGTAAATGATCCATTTGAACTGTTTCTCTTTTTTGTACTGACATGAATTTTGTGATGCTTATTCTTTATCATATTAATTCCATGTTTTTCTTTTTTTTTATTTGGATTATGGAGTCTTGGTTTTGTATTTGTAAAATCCAAATTTTAATGTCTTTTCTACATTATCAATGAACAGTTCCTTGGGCTCCTGGTGGTTCAAAGTTCACAAGAAATCCTGCTCCTACTCCTGGGGTAAGATTTTCTATTTAAATTATAATAGTATGCTTCTCTTGTCATCTTATTGGGTCCTAGTATAAGATATTCTTTTGCCATTTTTTTTGTTGACATATTTTCTTCTGTCATTAATATCTAACGTGCAAAAAGCATATCCTAATTGCTTAGTGACAATTATTGTTGTCGTGATATTGTCATCGTTAAATTTTATCAGGGAAAGTCTTTTTTTCAGTCAAGTCTTTAAAATCTGACCCCATTTAGATATTCAAATGAAGATTTGAGTAAGTTTTAAGCCTCTTTCAAGAATTTAAAATTAGATGACAGATTTTTAAGGTAATAACGGTTAGTTTTTAAAATTTTAAATTCTAAACTGTATTTAAGGTTTTTCAAAAATGATAAAATTTTATTAATTTTTAGGTCACTGTGTTACTAATTAGAAAGGGATCTTTTATTTGAGTTTCTTTCCCTCAAGATTTAGTTTTCAAAATAATGTATGTTATTATCGTCTAAGGTTATTATTATAAGCCCATATTATCATGATAAATCCATTTTATCATGTTAATATTGAACATATTATCAGCTCTTGATTTTCTCATGAGAAAATGAAGATAAATTCAAATTATTGGTGATAATTGTCACTAAGCCTAATCGTATGATACTTGACATCCAATTTCTGAAATATAAACTTCGGTCTCTTTTTTTTTGGGTTTTCACATCAGAAATGTATAGTTTTTTTATTACAGATACGCATTTTGTATTATTGTATTCATGCTTAACAACCATCTTTCGGCCTGTAAATAAATGACCTTAATAATTAATACCTTTATTTTTGTTTTATGAGTTGCACAACTTATCAATGCTGCTACCACTAAGACTACTACCACTGCCACACTACTACAAAAGCTACTACGACCACAATTACTGCCTATGTTTCTCACTTGATAAATCTGATGAAGTTCCAGTTGGACATTGGGTTTCTGGTAAATGGTGGGACCTTAAGGTGATTGTTGGATATGGCGTTAATGGATATAGACACAGAAATACAATAAATGTTTTATACATTTCGTGTTTACTAATCAGGGAAGCTTTTTATCTAGGGAAAATATCCCCTTATCCCTAATTTTTAACTTCTATATCTTATGAGATCCAAGAAATGAAAATATTACTTGTAAGCAAAAGGGGTCCATATTTTCTATCTTACAACCCACTGGACCCCTTTGACTATAAATATTTTACCCTAAAAAAAACTAAAATGACACCCTATCCTTTTCTTCTTTTCTTCTCCATTAACATGAACCACCCCCTCTCTCTCATCACCGTCTCGGAGGCCGCTCTCTCTCTTGCGAAAACCAGAGGCAGCTCTCTCTCTCTTGCGAGCCGAGGCAGCTCTCTCTCAAGACCTCTAGGGCTTTACATGCTTTGACTCTAAGAGATTCAAAGCTCTCTGTCTCTCTCTTCTGCAACCAATAGGGTCTTCAATTTGGTACAAATCTTGCGACTTTTGTCTGCAATTAGGGTTTATCTGCAGAAAGTTAGGGTTTCTTTTCCCATTGTACAAATCTTGGATCAATTCTCTGGTCACTTGCAGAGACGCAGCAGGACACCATTTCAGCTCTGAAATATTTTCTAAGCTCTGAGGAAATTATTGTTTCCTTTCAACGAGAAAATATTCTCTGGCCTAATGAATCTCCCACCCACAAGGCAGAAAGAGAGAATTGAAGAAACTCTGGTTCTCTCTATCTATAACTCCCACTCTGGCTCCAGAAGGTGCTCTGGTTTTCTCTCTATCTAAAACTCCCGCTTTCTAAATTCAGAGCAGCTTGCTAAATTCAGAGTCTCGAAAAGGAGAAGACCAGAGGTTGAACCAGACCCATGTTGTATGATGTAAGGTGAGCAAACAGGGGATTTATAGAGAGAAATTGAGCCTGAAGATTCACTTATCAATTTACACTTTGGATTTAGACAACCCACTAATTTAGCAGAGGTGGATTGTTTAGGGAAGAAAGTAGGGGTCATTGGATTTGGACACATAGCACATATGTATTTTGAGGTACATGGAAACCGAACAAGTTCACTACCTGTGTCCATGATTAAAGAAAGAGGTTGCGGAGGTGTTCCGAAATCGAGAGTGAGTGTAGCCACCATAGCTTAGAGGAGACAGAGGAACCCCAAATGTAGTCACATTTTTGCCAAATTTGGGGCGTGTGAGAAGTTGGCTCTTGCCAGCGAGGTGGAGGCATAGATGGAGAGCTCGTGACAGGGACCTGATGTGGGTTTTGGGGTGAGTCTTCCTAGAGAGAGAGTGAGACTTTGGGGTCGTTTAGAGACAGAGGGGTTTGGGATTGTTGCAGAGGGAGAGAGAATGGTAGAGAATGAGAGTCATGGCTGCTGAGAACCAGAGGAAACAAGAATTGTAGAGTGAGAAAGTGGGTGAAGAGAGAGAACATGGTGGCTCCTGTCTAGACCTTCAGTAGTTAAGTGGAGGGACAATTTTATGTGCATAAAGTCTTGTATGTAATTGACAGATGGACAAGGCTCTCCTTCTCCGATTCTGCAAATGAACAGTCTCTCTCTTTCTCTCTCTTGCTATGGCGACGGTTGTTGCAGAAGCTGAACCAGTTCGGCAAAAGAAGTTGAGGAAGCCACTCAAGCCGAAGAATGAGAATGATACCCTTTTGCTCAAGTCTCCGGGCTTGTGAAAAAAATCTTTTTGTAAGAGAAAGAGACAGTGATGTGAGAGGGAGGGAGGGTGGTTCACGTTTAACGAAGAAGAAAAGGATAGATTGTTATTTTAGTTTTTTTTAGGGTAAAAAATTTAGAGTCAAAGGGGTCCAAGGGGTTGTAAGATAAAAAAGATGGACTCCTTTTGCTTACAAATAATATTTTCATTTTTTGGATCTCATGAGATATAGAAGTTAAAAATAGGAGATAAGGAAATATTTTCCTTGTTGTCCAATATATTTCGTGTTTACTAAACTCGGAAGCTTTATCTGATTTAATCCTGTTTACTTATCTAGGAAGCTTTGTCCTTGTTCTTCCTTTCAGATTGAAATTGTCTACGACTATGGTCTGGAGGAGAAGCAGGAGTTGTGAAGTGGTCATCCTGTTAAGTGCTTCAGTAAACCCATAAAGTTTATGGTCAATGTTTCACTGTTCTTTGGAACAGCAAATGTTTTGTTAATGTTATTTTGTACTTTCTCATTACAAGTAATATTCATACTTCACTTACTCTTCATTATATGAGCTGCTTCTCCGACATGCATAATCTGCTCTGTGTAGGCCTGTTTAAAAAGAAATAGATGCTTGCTTTGAACTGGGATTTAATGAAATGGGAGATGAATTGCGTATGTGTGGGCACTATTAAACAAACAAATGTGCCTGCTTATTTGTATTGATTTCTAAGAGGGGAAGTATACCATCTGTATGGTAATGCAATAGATAGCCGATTGTCCACCACTTCTGAAGATAGATGGTGGCGATGAATCCTATTTTGGGGTCGACTGACTGTCATTGGAACTATAATCATATCTGCCGTGCATTTCAGGATCGAATAGAATGTTCTGTCCATTTATTGCTCTATTAGCTTATTTTAGGTGTTTCCTGGTATCGGGGATTATAACCGTTAAATGGTATGGCTTTGTGGCGTGCACATTTCTAAGCTTGGTTGGCTTTTATTTCTTCTGGAATGGCTATTGGATACAGCTCAGGAACGTTGCGGATTTGGTCAGTTAAGTTTGAGAAATAAAAGTATGATTGGAGCACAATGTTATGATGTTGGGGAGTTACTCTAAAGTTTGGATACAAACTTCGGGAATTACTCAAGTTTGGATACAAAATAGAATCTGAATATCCAAATTTCAGAAAATTTGAATAAAGCCATTGTCTTGCTTTTTGTATATATGAGTTATATATTATCCTAGTATGTGTTTTGTGTTTTTATGTGCATGTTTGACTGAATTTTATAAAAGAAATCCAGGGTGCAACCACTCTGCATGATTGACCCTAAAAATAGTTTATTGGATATCTTCGTTTTTCTCAAGGTCACAAGCTTCTAATTTTGGGTTTACTATTCCACATTAAGCTTTGAATACTAGGCTTCCCCTTTTAGCTATGTAAAGGTAAAGGTTTCCCCGCCATCCTCTCTCTCCATCTTTGAAAGGAATTGTTCTTTTCCTCCTTTTCTAATCCTGGTTTTTCTTTCTAGTTCTGTTACTGATTTCCTTTGAATCTGAAATTTGTTTGCTTCAATGGAGATTCCAGTTGCTGTAGTTTTTCAATTTTCGTACTGGTTTTTCAATTTGCCTTCTTAAGCAAATGATTTCTTTTGAAGTTAATGGCATTTGCCTTTGATTCATTAATAATCTTCTTTGAATTGTAGTCTCTCTCTTTCGATTGATTTAACCATTCACTTTTTGATATATGGTTTCTTATAGTCAGAACCGAATTCGTCTGATTCGACTCGGAAACCAGTAGACTTGTGTCGGTTCCAGTGAAATATCACAAATCGCCGGTTCTAGAGAAGAACCGGTGATTTCATGCTGTAAATCGCTATGTGATGTCATGATTCTTTCGATTCTTTGATTCATAATGTCATGACCCGTCGATTCTTCAATGGATATTTTGTAAATTTTAAAAATTACATAAATCTAAGGTCTACATACCCTTCTTCGTTGTTCTCCTCACTTCGTACACGTTATCATCGTTGGTTGCAAAGAGGTATTTATTCACTATAACTTCTTACTACCTCTTCGATGTGAGATAATGTGAAAGTATTAATTTGAAATATTAATAAATTATATATTTTATTTGCGCTTTTAATACCACTAAGTAGCATTTGGCTTACTGGTTATCAAGTGCCTTCTGCATGTGGAGGGTGTTGGTTCGAATCTCCTCAGGAAGAAAAGTTCTCTTATCAATTATTTTTCTTGTCAAATTTATTTTTTTGAAGTCAAATTTTTTCTTATAAAAAAATTAAAGGTTTTTTTTATCAAGTTCGCTTTTTGTCAATTTTTTTTCTTATCAATAAATGAAAGGTTTTTTTTTATCAATTTCGCTCTTTGTCAAATTTTTTTCTTATCTATAAAATAAAAAGTTTCTTATAAAAAAAAAATGAAAGGTTCTTATCAAATATTTTTCTTGTCAAAAATTTTTTTTTTGTCAAAAAAATAAAAAAGTAATAAAAAGTTATTGTCAAAAAAAAAAGTTCTTATAAAAAAATAATAATACAACAGTATTTTTTGTCATAAGAAAAAAAATGAAAGGTTTTTTTTTATGAATTTTGCTTTTTGTCAAATTTTTTTCTTATCAATAAAATAAAAAGTTTCTTATAAAAAAATGAAAGGTTTTTATCAATTATCTTTCTTGTCAAAATTATTATTTTTTTTCAAAAAAATAAAACGTTTTTGTCAAAAAAATAAAAAGTAATAAAAAGGTTTATTGTCAAAAAAAAATTCTTATTAAAAAAAAAGAATACAAGTATTTTTTGTCAAAAAAAAGGTTCTTGTTAAAAATAAAAAAAAATGCAATACGACAAACATTTCTTGTAAAAAAATAAAAGGTTTTTGTCAAAAAAACTAAAATGTTCTTATAAAAAAATCATTCTTTACTGTAGTCCATGTATGACTATATACTTCATCCATGATAGTTCCATGATTTTTATTTTGTGTGATGTAAATTAATGGTTAAAATAAGTTCATACAGAGAAAAAATATCTCAATATTCACATATTGATGAAAAAAATGAAAATTAATAATGTAGTATCCCGGTTTCTTATTAAATTCTTAAAAAACAACATTTATAATAAATTTTAATGATTTTTTTTTACAGCTTAATCAGACCGATTCGGCCGATTCCCAATTCGGATGGGTTTTGGGGTGCTCGATCCTGGCCACCGATCAGTTTTTCAAACCACTAGTTCCCTCCAATCGAGAACATCCTTCTATTGAAAAATGCTATTGGAATTTAACTACCAAGCAAGAAAAGTCACTCTCTTTCCAATTTTTACCACTTCCAATTAAAGATCAAGGTGCAAGCACAATGCTCAAATGAGGATCATCTAGGGAAAAAGAGCAAAACCCATAAGAAGAAACTTGATCAAGGTGCAAGCAAAATGCACAATTGAGGATCGTCTAGGGAAAACGAGCAAAACCCTTAAGAAGAAACTCGCTGATCAGAACCCAAGTAGCCATGAAACCTGCAACAATAACTTGGACCTCAAGTTTAGTGAAGAAGGTGCATAGGCATACAATGATCTAACACAGGAAACATTTGGAATTACACAAAGGAAACCTGAGAAGAAAAGCCACAAATTCTTAGATTCAATATCCCAGCTCACAGAATAGTATAAGCTCAATGGTTCAGATTGAATTTAGGCCGACGATCTGACGGTCGAGAGTATTTAAATTTTAATGTTTTTTTTCTACATATCCAAATCACTTAAAATTTTAGGTGAATATTCTTCTCATCATGCCATACTTAATAAAAATATATAAAAAAATGATCAAAATACCCCCGAAAATGTATGGGGTATTTTGATCTTTTTTTTCATGTTTTTTTAATATTTTTTTTTATTCACTTATTTTTAATCAACACACGTTTAAAATTTCAAGTAATTTGGATTCAAAAAAAAAAAATTAAAATTCAAACACTATCGGGCATCCGTGATCGTTAGATCGATCCAAATTTAATCTAAACCATTGGATTCATTTTTTCTTGTGAGCTCATTGGCTCACAGAAACATTTTCCTCTATATATATATATACATAGAAACAAATGAGAAACTCTCGTATAAGCTTTTTGGAGATGGTCTGAATAAGTGATTTGGATTCTGTTGATACGACTGCTCATATTCTCTCTCTCTCTACCTTCACCCATCTTTAGCAGTACCATATTACTCCATAAACCCAAGTGAGTTAAGAGATGAACAATAGGGTGAGAGAGTTAAATAAAAAGGGGCAACAGAGAGAGAAAAGGGGCTTGGGTGTAGAGAGCTTTGGGTTTTAGGGGAAGAGAGAAATGAGGGGCTCCCTTAGGTTAGATAGAGAAAGAGGAGGGGCTCGGCTAGGTTAGAGAGGAGAGAGAGAGAGAGAGAGAGAGAGAGAGGGCGTCCAAATACTTTTTTGTTTCTTTGAAATTTCAAAGCAAAATTGAATTTTTTTGAAGATATTGGATAGTCATTTGGATATATTTTGATAAGATTTGATCAGGTCCACTAGTTTCAATAATCAGAATTATATTAAATTATATTATCCTAAAATATCAAGATATTATAAATGCTATCCAACATACCCTTAGTTTCTCCTCTCAAGAACGGGGAAAAGAGTTCCCAATGATATGCGAAAGGGTGGCAAGGGCAGCCCTTGTCTCCATAGGCCCCGCCCAGGCCCAGGCCCAGGCCCAGGCCCAACCACGGCCCTATAGGCTGGGATAGGCAAAAAACAAATGAAAAAAAAATTGAAAAGAAAAGACCAGGAAGAAAGAGGCTAGGCTGGGACAAAGTGGGATAGCACTGGCCCTAGCTTGGCCTTTGGGCCACAGTTTGTGGCCTAGGCCCTACTTTCTTAGGGCCAGGCCGACGGGCCGGGCTGGGCTGCCTGGCCCATTGCCAGCCCAAGATATGCCTCGATATTTAGTTTATACATTTAGCATAAACTTCTACCCATACTTTTCCAAGTATGGAATTCTAGGGGAGTTAATTGTACACTTACCATCACGGTTAAAACACCTTCCTTGGAGGATTTATAGTATTATCAAGTTTTTCATTTTCGCCAGATGAACCATTTTAATTAAAAAAGATTTTAGTTCTTACCGCTTGCATTAGTTGAGTGAGCATTCATTTTTTTATCATTTTAAGGGAAGTAATTTTTTCAGATTATCACTAAGATGAATGCCAAGATCTAGAAGTTCAGGGCTCAAGTAAATTACCATAATAACTGACTTGCACAATTTCTACCAACTGGAACACCAAATCTTTTTCATTTATCAAATAGAAAATAATTATAATATCGGTTTAATTTAGGGTGTGTTTTGTGCTCTAATTATAAAATCTTAAACTCAAGAAATTGTTTAAATCAAGTTGGTTAAAATATTGAAAACGAATAGTCCAAATAATGTATTGAGAAATAAACTATTTTTAAAACTCAAAACTTTTTTTTTTCTTTTCATATTCATGCATCTCGATGTCGAGATGATCAATTAAAGGGTTTCCAACATCAAAACAACCTTTTATGGTTGATTTTTGAGATATAATTTAATTTTACATTTTAAAATTGCAACCTTATATAATTTTTTCCTTTTAATTTAAAAAAGACGGCAAAGCGCAAGTAGTATTACCAAAATATAAAAAATC